AACATCTTTGTGTAGCACAGGACTGAGAGTCAAACTTAATGTGGTGATAATTATTCAAAAGACCTACAATTTTCAACCCTTAATTCAAACTAACCACCATGGTCCTATGCACCACGAGGTTGTTACAGTGAGGACACTTGAACCGAGACAAGAATTCAAGTTTTTTGTCATTTAAAAAAATGTATATTGTAAATCATCCCTCTACAGAATCGATTCTATAAATACAGGGACTGCGGAGACGAGGGGTCTTTACCTTTTCCAATACTATAGTCTCTAATATTTTCCAATCTTAGGCCCCCCCCTTTTAGGGGTGCTCCGCAAGCCTAGCTAGAGTGCTCCGCAGCATGTGTTAAGAGCCAACAAACCCTATTACCTTTTAACAAACTATAAACTCTTATATTTGTATTTTCCAATCTTCCCCCCCCACTTTTTCCCATACTAGTCTCTTATATTTCCCAATCTTAGCCCCACCCCCAACTTTTCTGGAAGGTTTGCAGTCCTCGAAATAAGATTAATTTTGATCACTGTATTTGAACTCAATACTTCATTTCAGAGGGTTGGAGTATCCTCACTGTAATAGCCTAGCCTAGACTAGACTAGTTAGGGAATGCAGTAAGAAATTCAACCTACCTCTTGGGTTGGTTGAAAGGGTAAGGACCTCTGTTTGGCACTTGGAATGACTCAACAACAATTTCTTGCTTAGTTGAGCTTGGCTTCTCTTCTTCAAGTTTCCTCTTCTTTGAGGCACTGGTATCTGGGAATGTTATTCTGGAATAGAATATACATAAAAAAATATAAAAACAATCCCCACGAAGCACTCCCCATAAACCCCTCCCCATGAAGCACTCCCCATGAAGCACTCCCCATGAAGCACTCCCCATGAAGCACTCCCCATGAACCACTTCCCCTCAACTCCTCCCCGTGAACCCCTCCCCATGAACCACACCCCATGAACCACTCCCCATGAATCACTCCCCGTGAAACACTCGCTGTGAAGCACTCCCCAAGAAACCCTCCCCATGAACCACTCCCCATGAACCACTCCCCATGAACCACTCCCCGTTAAACACTCGCTGTGGAGGACTCCCCCTGAGACACTCCCCATGAAACATGAAACACTTGCATTAACTGACACTAAACACTTACCTGAAGGGTGGTATTCTCTTTGATAGATCATCAGTCATGAACTACAGAGAGAATAAAACATAATATGATTTCCTTTATAAATTAGCATTGTACTGGTCATGACAGTGAATCCCCTGGCTATGATGCAACAACAAAATGTTTTCTGTCGTAGTTAGATTATTAAACTCTTAATTAATGATAGATGAGGAGGTAAGCCGTGTGGGATGGGCTCGGACATCAAATAAGAACATGTGTAATAGGTAAATTACAAGCCTTATATGAAACGACTGAAGAAGAGTACCATATGAGCCTTTCAGTTTAAAGTTGCGTAAAAAAATGACCCAGCTCAACTAGAAGAGATGGTGTACAGCTGTTTCGCCCTGTATTGGACCTCGTCCGCACATCTAGTGAGCTGGTAGAATCCCACAAAAAAGTAGTACATGATAGATGAGGTGGTAAGCTGTGCCGGATGGGCTCGGAAATCACATAAGAACATGACGTGTAATAAGTAAATTACAAGCCATATAAGCCTCGTAATTTCCCTATTACGCATGTTCTTATTAATGAACAGAGTTGAATGATTAATAAGCCTCGTAATTTCCCTATTACGCATGTTCTTATTAAGGAACAGAGTTGAATGATTAATGAGCCTCGTAATTTCCCTTTTACGCATGTTCTTATTAATGAACAGAGTTGAATGATTAATGAGCCTCATAATTTCCCTATTACGCATGTTCTTATTAATGAACAGAGTTGAATGATTAATAAGCCTCGTAATTTCCCTATTACGCATGTTCTTATTAAGGAACGGAGTTGAATGATTAATAAGTCCAAAAATAATATGACTAAATGAATTCAAATCATCTTACCTTAACATCATACTTTGGGAAGGAATCAATCAGGTGTTGGTAATTTAGGAATGTGTCATTGAAGTTCAGTATTTTTATTTGGTTGGGCATTCTGTCAAAATATTCAGAATTTTAGGGTTATTTTATGTACATTTTTTTGATAAGAAAATTGTAATATTTATGTCTGATTTATATGGGCTTTACAAATGCCAATGGATAACAAAGTGCCTGCTAATCTTTTAAATAACATATTGAGGATATGATTGATTAAATAGCGTGCACATCCAAAAATAGATGATCCACACTGATCTGATTAAGCAGTTAACGCCATGTAATGAAGACTTTGTCAGAAAAAAATTTGAATCTTTTTCAGTAAGCAAAGACGTTTTTACACTTTTGCTGTGTTATAATTATAAGCATTGGTTTTTACAGTGTGCCCCCAAGACTCGATGAAAGTATGCTAATCAAACACTAATCATTTAATATTATAATTTTGTTTAATAATTATTGTATATCAAACCTGCTATAATGAGCTGCAGTAGGATCATCATAACCAAGAAAAATATCATGAAGCCACTCAGGTACCACACATTCTGCATTCATCATATCCCGAATGGTTTCTAGCACAGCCTGTGTAAGTTATAAAAAAAGAAGATTTAGCTTTATGAAAACCGTAATTAAGCATTCCTGGTCACATTAAGCCACTCAGGTTCCACGCATTCTGCATTCATTATATCCTGAATGGTTTCTAGCACAGCCTGTATAAGTTATAAAAAAATAAGATTTAGCCTTTATGAGAATCGTAATTAAGCATTCCTGGTCACATAAAGCCACTCAGGTAGCACACATTCTGCATTCACCATATCCCGAATGGTTTATAGCACAGCCTGTATTAGTCATAAAAAAGATGATTTAGCTCCTGTGTGAAGCTCAGATCATCCACAAATCTTTATCATCCAGCATGATTGAAGATACCAGACATTTCAGGATTACATGTACTATATTTGTGTTAGCAATACTGTAAACAAACAAATAATTGCATATATATATTAGCACATACCAAGTAACCTTTGTACTGATAATAGTGATTTATGTACCAAACATTAACAAAAACACTCTTTAGTAATTACTAGTTGTTGGGTTACCTGTGTAAGTGCCTGCCTTAGGTCAGCGGAATCTCACGTTTTGTAACRACGGCCATGTTTGTGTAAGCACATGGTTTACTTGAATAAAGCCTACTTTCACGGCTTAATCGTGTATATTCTTCACTACAACCTTAAGAAGAGGTACTGTTGTATTTACCTTGAAATTATTCTCTTTAGGCTTTCTTCTCATAAGAATATTGAAACTCTCATACACATCCTGGAAAATTTGATTAAAAAACATGTCATAACATACACTACAGGTTTGTGAGTCCAAAGATACCAAACTAAAAAGTTATAATAATTCCATATAACTATACAATCAAAATTCGTCCTGTGGAAAAAACTAAATGATTTCACTTTCAATATTTGTCTTCCTCTTTATTTCTCATTCTTGTTTTGTCTTGTCGCTTTGCCATTCGCTTTTGTCACATTTCTGCTGCTCTTTGAGTGTGTGTGTTACTGTCTGGAGCTACTGAATAAAATTATAACTAACTTAAATTGCCTAGGGTACTTTCAAAACCTTATGGTTCCTTTAGCCTCTAGTCTTTTCCTTGAATGTAAAGCATTTTTTTCATAAGATATAATGTAAAATAAAACTAAATCAGAAAGAAAAAATGCACTAATACATATGACATTGTGTAAATATTTCAAATATGGAAATGAAAATAAAGATTATTGTTATTGTTAATGAGAGAGTAGTCTCTTAGATGAACTGTGCAATAAATTCTCTAATGTTGATACACGTTATTAGTGGCATAGCTAGCCAACCTAATTAAGGATGCTTGATCCACATTTTTAGACCTGTAAGTTTTTTTTCAAATAGCTTACCCAGTAATGATAAAGACGTTTGTTTTGAAAAAAATAAGCAAATTTTACAAATGATATATGTTTTACAGTGATATTAAAAACATTTTAGTATGAAAATTTGGAGTTTGCTAAACTAAGGTTGTGTCAGTTTTTGATGACAAGAAAGCAATCCATGAAATCTGCTAAAGTTGTCAAGAAGATTGTCAATATTAGATAAGCRCTATTTACCTCTGATCCTTGGACAGTAAGAGCCATATCCTGCTGRTATTGATTAGTATCTAACCATACACGGAATGTRCGGTTATCTCCTTTGAATTCAGGCTTAGGATCAGGGCCTGCAAAAACGCATTGGGAATTAATAACTTGAAAGAGTACTAAAAGATGTGTTAGATCAATTGACTTACCATCTTCTATAACCTTTCCTTGTTCATCCAACATTCCTTCAATCTCTGCACCTCTGACATAATCTAGACCATACTAGATAAACATTTACATATTGTATTCATCTTTCTGCTTACAATTAGATAACTTTTTATTTAATGTTTGTGCCGCAAAAGGTAGCATCCCACTGACCATCCTGCACCCCACTGGCCATCCTGCACTCCACCCTACTGACTACCCTGCACCCCACAGACCATCCTGCAACCCACCCTGCTGACTACCCTTCACCCCACTGACCATCCTGCACCCCACCATGCTGACTACCCTTCACCCCACTGACCATCCTGCACCCCAC